TGGAATTTAAGAAATGCATATAAGAAAATATATATATTTGTAAACCTTTTTTTAAAAGATCATGCGCACACCAAAACAAGCAGCTTCATGATGGCCTCAGAACAGTTTCTTTTCCAAAGGGCAGGTGCTGGAGGCAAGGGGAGGCTGCCTCTCTACAAGTGTGGCAAATGGGGCCACTCTTCCACCTCCTTTCCTTCCCCTCCTGCACATACCTCTGATCAGTGATTAACAGGAGAGGGACAGGCTATTCTTAAGCTGTCCCCGGAATTCTTCAGGCTGTGAATGACATTGATGCCATGAATGGTGACTGATAAAGTTTTGATGTTAGGTATTAGGTTTTCTGAATAGCAGGTCTTACCATTGTTTTGATAAGCAGCATGTTTTCTTTCATTTTCTCCTCTCGAAAAGTAAGCAGGAGAGAGAAATGAGATGCAGAAAGGCTGAACTGGTGGCATGTCTGCATCTCACCCAGTTATATGTGAATTTTGTTCAGGAATAACCCTTAGCTATGTCAGTGCTCATCATTGACACTGTACATGTGCAGCTCTGAGACAGGCTGGAAAATACAAAAAAAAAAAAAAAAGCGCTTGAGTCCCCCTTTAACACCTGTTCCTGTGCTGCAGTTGTTGCTCTGATCTTCACTTAGCTCCAGGTCCTGTACCCTGCTCAAGCCTGCTGCCACTCCCACAAGGAACTGAGGCAGAGGGAGCCAGGAACACACTTTGTCTGGCAGGATGGTCCAAGTCAAGACCGCAACCACTGACAAATGCCATGTGCCATTTGTAGATCTACCTCACCTGCACATCTAACTGGGTTCTTTGTTACTTGGTGTCCTTTTGTGGGAAATGAAATTTTTAAGTGCTTAATAATGCTTAATGTTGAGTCATTCTGCATAACCAGGTCTTCTTTAACCCTACACTCCAACCCCATCTTGTCCAGAAGAATGCTGTGAGTGTGACAGCCTGTACTGTAAGCCAGAGCCATGCCTGCTTCCCCCAGCCGGGCAATTGTTGAGCTCCCAAGAGCCGTGTTGAGCTTCCCACTGGCTCCACAGGGGTGCAGTTTAACATACCAAAGACCTACAAGTGGGGATGCTGAAAAATGCAACATTATGTCATTAAGCAATCCATGCTGAGCATGTCTGCCTGTGGCTTGTTGAAACATCAGGACACCTCTAACACCCCTGGCACTCCAGTGCTGCTCTGGGATTGCCTTGCTTCGGCACAGCAGCAGCCTTGCTCACTCGTCGGTGACTGTGGTGGCCGCGAGGAGTGCACTGTGCAAGTGGACACCTCCTTGTTGGTGTGAGCAGTTGCTAAGGGGGTGGGCCTTGAGCCAACATCCTGGCAGGTGCAAAACAAGCCACGAAGGTCTCCATTCTCTGGGAGAAACACATTCCCATCTGCTCATTGGAACAGCCAGTCCCCATTGGCCATGGGACAGGGGCTTCGGCTGTGCTTTGGTGCAGCTTTCTTCTCCCTTAGGGCATGGTGGGGTTGAATGTAGGATGGGGACACCCTGTAAATATGGAGAGCTATAAGGCAGGATCAGAAGAAGCCTCTGCCTTTGGGGGAGCTTTTCCTATTTAAAATGTGCCTGTCTCTTCTTTCAGCTAGTCAATAGCAGGGGTAGAAAGGATGGGGTTAAGGAAGAAGCGTGGCAGCTGTTGGCCAAGCCCCACTGTGTTGGGACAGGTGCTTTCAGTCAAAGACATGATGAGAGTTTGAAGCTTTTCTGAACCAAGCACTCCCTACTTTATACCTGTTAAACCCCACTCTCGTGACAGACTTGTTGCTGCAGCTTTCTGCCGCTGTATGTACAGTGTCTATCCATCGCCATCTCACATCTCCCACTGGGGGATGGTGCTGTTTAGTTGCTAATACCAGTTTTACACCAAAAATTCTCTTTTGGAGCCAGGAGGGCTTTTGCAGCCAGTGCCAGATTTGGCCTTGTGCAGAAGAGAAGGGAGGGAAAAAGTCAGGGCTCAAGAATAGCAGTTTTCCCTCTGCAGCAGCCAAGGCAGCAGGTGGGAGAGGGCCAGCCCTTCCCTGCGGGCTGGGAGCTGCCAGGGGCAGCGGGGTTGAAGCATGTCTCGAGTAGATGCTGGCACGGCTCTGCACTCCGGACAGACCACCCCCTGCAGCCTTAGCTTCCTTTGTGGTCACTCAGATGCTTAAGCAAGCCCTCCCCGACATTTATTTGACCCAGTGTTTGCTGGCTAAAGTTTTCATGCATAAATCAGTTTGGAGTCCAGAACTCCCTGGCGTTGCCCGTGATAACTGTGAAGTGTTTCTGTGTCATTGGCCAAAAAGCTGCTCGGCTTTCAGTGTTTTGCTGCCCTGCTCAGCCCTGCTGAGATGGTGATGAGAGCGCTGCCCCCTTCCCTCTGCTGTGGCATCCCCGTGTTCGCGGCCCAATCATCCCAGCTGCTCCCAACTTTTTGTTATGCAATAAAGAGCTTCACCCTGACGGGCTGCAGAGCGTTTTGTGGCCATGGGTGGGAGGGTACAGGCCGCCTCTGGGCGTCGTCACAAATAAAAGCCAATGCTCTCAAATGCATTGCCAGGGCGGGGCTGGGGGAGGACTGGGCAGGGAATTAAATTGGTCAAATGATGTCCCTAGGAAAGCTCTCTCCTCTTCAGTCATAAAAGACAAAAACACGCATTTGCAATTGGCACTGTTATTTTATTAGTACGAGTATACTGAAACAATAAACTTGTACTGGTATACAGACAATTTCTTTAAAACAATTTTGTTCAAATTTTGAATCAAACATTGTTTTATTATAATAATGAAATAATTTCTACCTAGAAAACCTGCAAGCACCATCAAAGAAAGGGACCATAAAATTCAATAAACAGACGCGAGTGTATCCTACAAATAGACACACCACCATTAGAAAATAGAATATGAATTCTTCCATTTTTTTTAATATTTGTTTTAAAAAAGCTAGTGCAAGTACAATATTTTACACTGGAATTACAGAGAGTATGCACGCATATGGAAAAAAGTTCTCCTGTCACAATAAAAGCTCTTAACTATGTCTGTATGCACTTAAAATCTTCTCCTCTTTTCAATAAGGTGCAAAACGTTATTCCCTCCCTATTTTCTCCTTTGTACTGGCCATGTCAGCTCAATTTCTCCCCAACACAAAGCTGCGATATCCCTTTTACTGGGCCTACACTAGGAACTACACTGGAAGTGTGATTTGCAACAACCCTCATTAGTAATACTAGACAATTAAAAAAAAAATTTACTTTAAAAACTACAGATGTTGAATGGCTGGACCTGACCCCGGCTCGGCCAAGCGCCGCTGCCAGCTGCTGCCGGGAGCGGTGACATAGCTAGTACAAAATGGATTTCAGTAGCTCACCCAAACTGAAAAAGGTTGGGAAATTCCCCCCACCCCCACTTTTGTAACACTGCGAAAAGAACAGTGTTCAACAAGTTAATACATTATTAAAAAAAAAAAAAGGAGCAAATACATACATTAGTGAGTTTCAACATTAGCTGACTGTCGTGAAGAGTTGCATCTATGCCTTACCAGATTAGTAACTTCGCGAAGCGCCTGGCCGTCCGAGCCACCTGCAGCCATCCCTGGCCCGTTTTTGCCCTCAGCTGCCCAGATCCAAACCCGGTGGACTGGAACAAGAATTCTGCAGAGCTTGTTCAACGGGAGAGTACCTGGGTCCTGGACTTTTAAAGCAAATGCCAGGGTGGAATCCCCTCGCCAGCAGGTGTGAAGGGGCAGACCCACACTGCCGGCAGAGCCAGTGGTCCCACCCTGGCTCCACCCTGGCCGAGGATCTGGGCCCTGAAGTTTCTGCCCATCACCAATCTCGTAGTACAGCAAGGACAGCTTCAACAAGTGACTCCGCTCGCTGCAAACAACACTTCCAATGCACACCTACTGCGTGGTCGAGGGAAAGGGCACAGGAGCTTTAACTGCTCAAAAGAGAAACTAACAAAAAAGTAACAACCTTGGATGAAGCCTCCTTAAAATCCTCAGTGGAAGACTTGCGTCCTTTCAGCTAACAATAAGAAAAAACCTACGGAAACCTCAGAGACGGTTATTGTATAAATACTACCTGTTGGCTGAATGCACTTCACCATAACACAACTGGGGCTGGTTTCTGAGCACCCGGGGGTCACTTGCACAGGGCGAGCATTCCCATCCCCTGTGCCTGTGGGAGCCAAAGCTTGGGTCATCTCTGGGGAGGGGGATGGGACCAGCTGGAAACTTTGCCCTCTCCACCCTGCCACCAGGTCCCAGCTGCCCAGCTCAATCTTTGGACAGGAAAAGGATCCTCTTTTCAGAAATTGCTTCAGGATCCTCTCCTTTTGGCTTCTGAAAAACACCGGTCTTGCCATTGGTCAAGACCGCCACTGGAACCATGTGACCAGCTGCTCCTGGCACCCTGGCAGCAGCGGTGGGAGAAAGGGGCAGTGACAGGGGCTGGAAGGCCGGGTCACCTCGGGTACCATTGTGCTGCTAGTGCTGGGCAAGGATACCTTGTTACAAGCACTTCTAGCTCAGGGTTGTACTCTTTGGATTTCATCTGGACCAGGAAGTGCTGAAAAAGTGTAGAACAGCATCCCCAGAGAGAGAAAAAAATGGGACCAAAAGACCTCAGGTGGAAACTACGCAAGTTGTGCTCAGCCAGCAGCAGCTCTCAGCCCGAGAGCTGCCAGCACCAGCAGGGTCCCCGCACTCGGGCCAGCCGGGCCTTGCCTGCCCAGGGCACGGCCAGGGCCTCCCTCGAAACCAGCCTTGACCTCTGGGCTGCCAGGGGCTCCCTCAGCACAGGCAGAAGAGACTTAAAGCCAAATACAGCCGGAGGATGAGACTCTCGTTTTGCACAGTAGCCACCCTTCGAAGTGCCTGGTAGCTGCACTCAGGAATTGCTGCTCCAAGGTGTATTTTCAGCACAGGCATTAACAGTGTGACTCCATTCCCCAGAAATGGGACCCATGTAATACGAACAGAAAATTAAGCACAGTTGTTCTTTAAGAGCCTTTTAAGTAATAATTCTTCCTGGCCAGAGCCAATACAAATCAGATCATCTAGACATGACATTTTCTATATACAAAAAACATGTAACTTTCAACCTTTCTCTGCTTTTGTATTTAAAAACTTTTTTTTTTTTTTACAAACAAGGTATGAAACTCACTGTTCAAACAGAGCCATCTCTTTTTCAAACACTGAATGAATCATTCCAACATTCATTTTTCTTTTGTGCAATTTTTTAAAACATTACCTGTACTCCTCAATGTGAGTGCTTCAAAAAAAGTTTCTATTTTTAATAAGCTTCTCAAATTAGGTTTACATCAAAAAATATTCCCACAAGGTATAGTGCTACAAGAAAAGATCCTATCAGTAAAGGTAACACATCTGAAGCGAGGTCGTCTATGTAAAAGAAATTGAACTCTGGAGTAGAGGTGTGCAACGTGTTTGGAATTTCCCTATGGGCATAAAGCAAGGCTGTCCTCTGGACAGGGAATCAAGTGGACATGTAGGCATACACGTAAAAAAAATGCACACGTAACTTCTTTGTGTGCAAACAGACACTTCTGCCTGGGGGTGTGTGTGCACATATGCATATCTGCATCAACAAATTCTCATTTTGCTATGTATTACAGCATTTGGGAGAGTGGGAGGGTTGGAAAACCAGAGAAAAGGAAATTACTGCCTCCACTCTGGTGGTATGTTCCCCTTGCTTTTCACATCAACACTGGCCAGAGCCCGCAGTGGACTCTGCTGCTACCTGTGATGATGGGGAGGGAAGAAATGGAAACTGTATGAGTGCATATCTTGTTCTGCCATTTGTCAAGTTTCTGGGACAGCAGAAGTGTTTCAATGGGGCAAATCCCCTCCACCTGCCCAAGGCTTCTGCCCTGGTCAACCCCGACATTTTTCCAGCTGCCTAATTAAGGTCAGGATCCGGCCCTGATTGAACCACGCTTCAATTTCACAAAGATTTATACATGTGCTTTACAGCGAGCCCCTGAGCAGCCTTTGCTGGCCAGCCCAGACCTCCCATGGGCACATGTATAAGCGTTTGCAGAACTGGGTCCCATGACATGCAGAGCATTGCACCAAAAGCCACTCTGAAACAACACTATTAGTGTTAAAAAAGATTGAGAATTCGCTCTCCTTGACACAGGCTTTTTTTTTTTTTTTTTAAGCAGTTGTGAGAATTAACAGAATTTCACAATTTCCTTTTTACTACTGGCAACACACTTTAAAGTAATATAAATATCTGCAGAGAGTGTATTTTCATGATAACCAACAGCTACAGTTCATGCTGAGCCTGCTGCTTTTGTATTGCAATCTAAATGAGATCTACAAAGTTTAAACCATGAGATGCAGGAAATCCAAACTTGTCTGTAACATTGTACATCCCTACTCCGGAGCAGTAAAAGTGCTGCTTCTGGTCACATCAGTGTACCACACATACACCAGCCCCATCCCTGAGTAAAAGGTGTGAAAGGTTTCTAAATGTTCCTTGATTTAAGGGAAACAAGAGTAGTGATGTCACTTCCCCATGCTGAGAAAATGACGGGAACGACGGGTCGAACGAAGCGACAGTGGGACAAAGGAATGAAAGGAATGAAAAAAGGAACGTGTGTCCCTCCCCTCCTCCCGAGGACTGCATCTTTGAGTGAAAGCAAGTCTAAGGGCAAGGTACAAAATGGTAAAATAGGTCAACAGCGACTCCGATTCGGGTCTCGACCAGAGGACTCGAGGTAAGTGACATCAAACTCAAATTCCCCACGATGTGGCCCAGACAAACTGAAACAATGCCTAAGTTAGACGCTATAAGGAACAGTCACTGTATATATAGAGATAGATATATAGATAGATAGACAGACAGATAGATAGATAGATAGATAGACAGACAGACAAATAAATTTTTTTGTTTTTTAGAAATCCCTATAAAGAGGTTCTTGTTTTATTTTTCTTTGCCCTGACTAATTTCTTGGTGATTGTATGCATTTCATTGTAAACTGAAGAGGCCTGCTACAAAAGGAGAGAAACAAGCAGACAAAAAAGAAAACTGCTTAGTTACTATTGCAAGGCGGCCGCCAAGCAGAGCAGAGGCAGAGCCTCCTCCTTCGGCTTCACCTCAGCATCCCCTGTTACGAGTGGTGTTTTGCACCTGCCCTGGGGATCGATGGCACTCCCAGGCCTGGGGCTGCACCACAAGGGATGCTCAGTGCCAGAGGGAAAGGCAAAGCCCCACCTTGCAAAGGGCTCGGCCCCGATGGGAGCCAGCTCCTGTGTGCGCGTGTCCAGGTGGAAGGTGGCACTCGGCCATATGGTTGAGTGCCACCCTCTGCCTGGATGGATGCCATGTAGACATGAATACATCTCTTTTTTGCTTCTTTTTTTTTTTTTTTCTTCCTGGATCTCTTTAAACAACAAATAGAAAAAGGGTTCATGTTTCCCGGGGCAAGGGATCTTCTACCCTTAGTATGGTGTGGGTTTTTGGAGGGGGGAGGACAGGGAGAGACGGGGGGGGCAGGGAGAAAGGCAGAAAGAAAGAATTCAAAAGAGACAAAACCAGGGGAAATCAGAAGTGAGTATGAGATCTAGCTAACACCACACAGGTGAGTCTAAGTTGGCACGTAAAGTATTGCACATCCTACAAAAGCTAAAGCATGGAAGGGGACAATTGTTTGGAAAGAACCAGTTATTTCAGAATTCCTCAGTCTGAAATACAAGCACAGAACTAATACATTCCTATTGCTCCAAATGTATTTTTTTATTATTATTATTTTTTTTAGTGTTAGTTGAATAGATCCAGTCAGTTTAATAGCCCCTGCTTCCTTATTGACCACAAATGTGTATGCGAATGGTTTTACTTGAGATTTCTTTTTCTCTAAGTACACGTGAAGTACAGAAATAGTGGTAAGACTGTGAACTAAAATCTGTAATCTTTCTATTCCTTTACCATCAAAGCTTAAAAAAAAAAAACAGGAAACAAAACAAAACAATAAATTGCAAGTGCCCTGAGCAGAGTATATGGAAGATTAAGCAACTTCTCTGAGCAGAAATATTAACAAATAAGCACTAACTAAGCTGTGTGATTGTGAGAAGAAACCCACTCAGCTATTTGGTAGCCCGCTGAGAGGTTAATAAAATTCAAGGAAATTCAAAAAAAGTTTCAAGCTATTTTAAACATATTTCAACTTTTTGGTGCACCCCAGAATATGGTATAAAAACAATTAGGTCTGGTGTGAGCTAAATTTCAAGTAACAAGTAACAAGAGTCAAAGATGGGGTTTGGGGTTAACATTTCTTCTCTCAAAGAAAAGCACTGTATTTCAGGGGAGAGGGAAAACAAGACTTTAAATAAATTTGTTCACTTTAGGTTACTGTGTTTCTAATGACAGACTTTGATTTCCTGTTCTCCCTATGAGTACAGCTTCTTCAAAACTACCTGAAGGATGTGAACTCGCCAACCAAAAATGACGACACGAACGCTCGCTCACAGAGGGCCCGAGTGCGATCCCACTGAAATCCCACTGGGATCTTCCAAGAAGCAGCGACAGGCTTTAGCACTCAGCCCCGACACTTCATACTCGCACCTCCCCGAGGCTCGTGCAGGAGGTTTGGTGCACAGCACCTCAGAGGATCCGGCCCTACCTGGGGAAAGAAAAGACTGAACGCGTGAATCCCCCCGCTCCTACTTGGTTTGTACCAAACTCCTGAAATGTCGCCTTTCCAATGGAAAACAATGCAATTAAAATAACAAATAATAATAACAATAATAATAATAAAAATAAAATAACAATAGGTTTGTTTTCAAAACAAACAAACACCTTGCTTACTTATAGAAATGGTTTTTTTTCTGGAAAACTCTCTCAGCAAATCTGAAGAAAAATTCTCAGAGGTGTCCTGGTAGGACCTGGTTCTGTGTGGCCGATAAGGTAGAAAGACTGAAAATGAACTCTGAAAGGAACGTAACCCTATGAAATGGCCTAGAGCGTAGGCAGGTTAGTGAGTAATTGCTACATTTGTTTATGCTCTTTCAGACCCCCCCCCACCCCACAACATTATTAGGTAAAAACTGCAGGAATACCACACAAATGATAAACTCAAGATGTGCAAATTGCAAGATTCTTTAAAGTCCATCTTTTTCAAAAACACTGGACAATGATTTTTCCTCTTTCCTTTTTCCTTTCTCTTTTTTTTTTTTTATTATGTCAGCTCGCATATGCCTTTAACTCTTTCTCAAGCATTAAAGTTTAAAAAGTGCCTCCTATTAAGTAGTCCTTTGTGGACAATGACTGTCACATACTAGTTCAATAATTCACATTCATCCCTTTGAAACCACATTAAAACTTTCAGCATCTTGCCTGTGAGAAAACTTTACATAGTTGCATGTAGTTACAGTGTTGAAGAGATTTGTTTGTTTGTTGTTGTTGCTTTCCGAGCAGATTAAAGTGATATACAGTACGTACTGAGTGTTAGACCAGGATGCTCAGCAATAAAGTGTGAACAGCATTTTAAGTGCTTAAAGACATTCTAGGTTCATCTTCAACAGCGGATTCCTGTGTCACACACCGCAATTTGAAAAAAGTGGCACCAGTTGTCCATAACCATGAACTAAAACCAGTACTAGAGTTAAAGACAAAGATTTGCAACCTAACTGCAAACGATGGATGCCTGTGATCTCAAAGGGGCAGTCTGCGTCTACCTTGTGGAAGCAAATGTCATTGGCGTAACCCGGTCGATTTGTCTAACACTGCACAGAAACAGGAGTGAGCCAGAGCCAGGCGCATCCGCAGAGCCAGAGGCCTCCTCACACACCCACGCACACCCACGCCACACGCACACACCCAGCCCCCCGCCCTTAAGGGAAACCCTGCAGGGCGACCGGCGCGAGGGTCCGTACAGCCTCGCCGTCGCTGACTCCGGGCAATGGAACTGCACTAGCAAGCAGAAAGGAAATGTGGTGTGGCAGTTTGCTTTAGGAATAAAAATCAGTGCAGTCAGACCCCATGGGGGAAAAATATATATATACATATACACACACACAAATATATATATATATATATATATGTATAGCAGAGCCTTGAGTAAGAGTTGGCTTGTTGTTGAAAACATCAGAGACTGTCTGATCCTTTTCAGTAACACACCCAAGGGTTGTGTCCTCAGCATCCACCTGGGGTGAGCAAACCTCATCACCAACCCTCCAGAGAGCGGCCGTCCCGCCCTGGGGGCTGGCACGCACCCACACCCACACACACGCACGCACACGCACCCCATGTCTGACACACACCTCTGCTACAGTTCCCTTCTCACCTCCCCCAAAAAAACTAGAACAGGAACCAGAACAACAAAACAAACACCAAAAAAAAAAAAAAAAAAAAAGCGACGAAAAGAAAACAAAATCACAGCTGGACCCTGTCCTACACGAGGTGTTAGAAAACAGGAGCCATGACAACACATTCATTTCCACTAAGGGTGTGTGAAGCAGATACTGCCCCTTCTGTAGCTCTCAATAAACCTAGTCACTGACAAACACTTGTGGAAAAACATATGCACCAGTCTCCTGCATAATACCAGCTGCAACTATAACAACAAGGTTATAACATAAACCTAAAATAAGATGATAACATGTAAATACTGGGTTATTTAGTCTACAGTACAGTAATCTGGATAAAAATGACAAGGGATAGCCTAATTTCCTTTCCCCAAACAACTTTTACTTTCCTACGTTGGATCGACCTTCAATACAAATCTTAACCTCCTGAGGAATAAAAGAAGGCTTGGGAAGAGTCAAAGGTGGCTCCTCTTCTGATTTCTCTAGTTTTCGTGTTTCAGGGGCTGACCACCTCCTCTTCCTTGTTGCTGGGGGCTTGCTGGGTTCTGTTTTGGTGAGCAAAGGTGCTGCAGGCAATCCTATTTTGTCCGGAAACTTCAGTTCACCGTTCTCAGCTAACATCTGTGCGCTTCCCTGATTAATCCCGTTTTCCTGCTCCGCATACCTGTGTCTACTTCCAGCTAGACTGTCATTCTTTGAATGCTTCAGCAAGATACTAGCTGAGTCCATGGGCTGGCCCTTTTTAATAGAGCCGTTCTTCAGGTTCTTGAGTGTGAGCGATATGCAGACGTCCCCCACTGAGAGTTTGGAGCATGGCAAATCAAAGAGCTGGTTGGTTCTTTCAGGGCAGCACGATGACCAGCCTTGTCCAAATACAAAAAAAGGGTATTCTACCAAGACTTCTACGCTGACCTGCAGAAAGAGACAGGACAACACAGGAAGACAGAGGGAGAGAGAGGAGAGAGCATGAGATCACTCCATGAGCCCTCACACATGTGCAGTGCTTGCCACAGGGGAGAGGGATAAAGCTGGAATTGCAAAGGCGATGTTCGGTTTCTGCAAAATCAGAATATTGGTCACCAGACTTCATGGCAGCCCTTGTCACCCAGATCTTAATACTTTCTCTGAGCTCAGTATTTCATAGCACAAACTTCAGTAGGAATCAAGCTTTACCTTCATCCAGCCGCTCAGACAGGGTAGAACAGCTTCAGCGTCTGGCCAACTGTTTCCTACCATCCCTTTGTGGTACCTAGAACCTGTAATTCAAATCTAAAGACCCTTTCCAACCAGAGGGTGGTTCAAGAGAAGCTCTCAGTTCTGACATATGATTTCCTAAATGATCACGGGAATGTCATCCCGACCTCTGTCCGAACCAGCGCCCACTGAGCAGCGTGAAGGGGGAAGGCCATGAACACATACAATGTTGCAGCCATTAAGAGCAGCAAGTGAGAGCCTGCCTTCCCCCAGCAGTCTGTTACCAGTCCAGTTTCTTCCCTTCTCACACCTGGTCTTCCACTCTGCTGCAGAGTTTATCTCCTGCACTTCCTCAGGGAGGTGGTCGTCCTTCCTCCTCCTCCAGTTCCTGTACTGTGTCTCTTTTTCTGTACCATGTCCCATTTTCCTCTGCTTCACCCCACTTTTAAAGACACATCTGGTAAGGAATCCTACCTAACCATCTTAGGGGGAGCTGCCATGGCCAGAACAGACCAACAGCAGGTTCCTCCTGCTCCTTGACCTTGCAAATGCTGGGCCTTGAGGTCCCAACATGATAAAAAAACACTTGATAAAACCATGATAAAATACGCACTTATCTTTGCACGTGGTAGCAGTCCAGCACTCACTGCAGGCTCAAACACTTGATGTGGACTCATGTGATTCTCAACCCATGGGGCTGACACCCCTCCTCCCCAGCACACTACAAAGAGAGCAGGAAATTCTGACTAATACTTCTTTAAAACTTGGCACGTGTTTTTAACTGCTGCCTGTCACACCAGTGAGGTCTGTGACTGTAAGAGGCTGGCTTGTGCTGAAGACAGATACCCACTGCTCTGCTCCCACGGTCCCCATGTCCTCTGGAGCTCCTCTCAGGCATGGGGGCACAATCCTGCTCTGACGGTGTAACCCTTATTTGGTAAGGGCAAAAGGGTAGGAGATCAGCTAATACATGTGCTCACCTCATTTCTGAGCCATTCAGCAGGCATAGACTGTACCAGCTGCCTGGAGAGTCTTCCCTCTCCAGGACCACGGACTTACTTAAAAGGAACAACACAGCAGCTTGTGAAACCACCTCTCAGCCCTGGGAATGAGTAACACTGTCACACCCAGCATGGCTTTGCATTATTAAAAATGCATTTTGACACAGAAGCAGTTTGAGATGCACACTGCACTCCAGTGTTCCAACACATCTGTCCATAATGTTAAGTGTGAACCTTGGGATGAAGTTGCATGGTCTGTCTCACAGAAGAGGCTGGACTCCATGGAAGCACTGCCCCCAGCAGCCCTGCCCCCTTCCCTGCTAGCAATGCCACTCCCACAGCTGCTCTCCCTGCAAGCAGGGCCCCTGGTAGTGCCCCTCACACCCAGCTCCGCAGCCCTTTTGGGCAAGAAGACCTGCTCAGGAATGTCTGACAGCTCAGAGATAGATGCTCCAGAACCATGAAACCAATGATTCCCACCGGTTGTTGACGGTGCCTCTGACTACGTGCATGCCATGCACTAGCAGCCAGCTGCTGTTTATGGAGGGTTGATCCTGCTGGAAAAAACCTAATTGAGTCTATAAATATATGCTATGCACTTCTGCAACTAGGCCAGCAGATAACACTGCATCTATTATCCTGCCACTCCACCTGCCCAACACAGTAAGCCACTGTACAAGGAATTTCAAAAGGAGCAGTTTAGAAGTGCAAGATACTACATCAGTTTTTGTCCTGCTAAATCTTTTCCAACCAGAACTATTTTCCAACAGTCGAACTACACACACTGCAATAGCGGAAAGGGACCTGACCCGAGCCCTGGTTTAAGCTCTGAACTACGGAGAAACTGGGGTGAGGCAACCATGAAAGCCCTATCCCTTCATGTCACTGGATGGAAACACTCCAGCACCAGGATTTGCAGAAATATTTGCCCAGAACCTGGGATACTATTCCATACATATGCATCTCAGTTTAACTGGAGTCTAATCAGGAGAAGTAATGAATATCCAGCATCTCCCATGGACTTGGAAGCTGCTGTCTGCACAAGAACTGTAGGCTGTCTCCAGGCATGGATCAGCTGGTGGACACAGCTTTCTCCTTTATATTGCTTTTTCTCACATCTTTCTTTCTTCCTGCTTGCCTGCTGAATTTTTTTTTCTTTCCTTTTCTACCTTTCCATCCTTGTCAGAAGCTATTTGTATCTGTGGGAATCATACTTGGTTGTGTGCATCATCCTCACCAACACACAAGCTCCTCTTGATGTCAACACACTTCCACCACACATTATGCTTTTTTTTTTTTTTAATGTAGTATCCAAAACACTTGCCTGAAGGGTTGACCACTGAAACCCAAACCCGAACTGGTGCTGGTGATCATGAATAACACCAAAGATGGTGGAGTGCTAGAATCCCCACGATCTGGTCACACTGTGCATGTATCACTTTTGATTTGCAATGGGTTCCCTCACAGATTATCAAGCCCTGTTTTAGCTGTCTGTTTCTGGATTCAGCTAAGGAGGGATTTGAGGCAACCATCCTCTAGAAACAAGCTTAAGACCTTTGAAGTGTGAAAGTTCAGTAAGAATATCCCCACAAAATTTTTTTCTGACCACTGCATTAAAACACAACCCCCCTTATTTTAAAAGCTTCCCCCCAACCCCTCAGTATTTTGCCACAATTATTTTAGGAGAGAAGGAAATTTGGAATTTTTGTACCTACTAGTAAGAGGATAAAGTAAGAAACAAACATGTTGGTTTCTTTCAAAGCATATTGAGGCTCTATTGCAAGCTACATTTATATTTCTATTTGTTAACACTGACTAGTGAAAGCAGCTGAAACTCTTCAGTGCAGCCACTGAAAACTGAAACTTTCTATAACCCTTTATAATTTTTATTTGTCAGCCAAACTCAGTAGGCAAGACAGGCTTAAGACAGCTGAAGAAATCCCAGCTGGAGCTGGAATACGGATACTAGGGCCTGGAAGATCTGATGCCCAGGAAACACCCTTCCCATCATTTAGAAACACAACTTTAGTCTTGGGCCTTGCTGCTGCAAACAAAATAACACGCACGAAAGCAAAAGGTGCCTAATGAAAGTGGTTCATGTGAACAATATTTTAATAAATGTAAACATGCATTTTCCAATTAAGTGTTTTTCTCCATAATGCTATTAAAATGTGATGAAACTAGGAGTGGCAGGTTGGAACAGAGAGAAAGAAGCAGTTCTGGAAACAATGTGCAATTAAGCAGCAGAGCTCTCCACTGAAGGCCTTGCTTTGGGTGCTGAAAAGCTCCTCGGGCCCAAAAAACAACTGGGTGGATTCACAGAATAGAAGCTCTCCTTCTCACAGAGAAAAGCCTCTGCAGTGCCACACTCCCACACAACCTCCCCTGTTCAGAAACTTCAGGACTTCTAATGCTCCCCCCGCACTCTGATGCCTTCACAAGAGTGGATTTCCTGTGAGAGATTTCTGGGGCTGTAGGCAGCACCTCGTGCCACAGAGCCACCCTCCAGAACATGATCTGACTGGGCAGCCCCCAGGGCTGCATCTACCCCAATTCAGTCCACTGTTACTATAGCAAAGGCAGGCAGGGCTGGAACATCAGGGGCTGCTGCTCTCTGCAGTCACGCAACCCCGTAATTCCCAAAGAGAAGCCGTCTCTCGTCCAGCAGACCACAGGCTGCCGCCTTTATCACATGAGTTGTGTCATCTGCTGCACTCCCAGAACCCAGTAACGTGAGGACAGACCACAGCCAGCCATCACTTGGAGACAAAAGGACTTACTGTCCTGTGACCAGGGGACACAGAGATCACATGAGGGGAAGGCTGGCAGAGATCTCCATCTGCAGCAGTGAACTGAGTCAACATCTGTTTCTGTGTCTGTTACGGTGACAAGGATAATGAAAAGGGGAGCTCAAAGAAAGAGTAACCATTTGTGCGTGCATTGAAAGATGTAAGGGGAAAACTGAACTAGATGATGGTCTAAAATCATATGCACTAAACTAAACTAGTCAGGCCTACTAACTGCATGCTCTAGTGGGACTTTCCCATCTCTAGTGCTTATGATTCCAGTTTAGTTTTGTTGTTTGGTTTTTGGGGTTTTTTTTAAGGAAAATTAAGAACTGTATGCTCACCTTTTCCATTCAATCTGTACTTTAGAAATTATTAGGAACTGAAGTATAGCATTTCAGAGAACTAATTTTGCACAGCCTGTGAGCTTTGACCTTAACATCAAGGGAGGTGAATTACTGACTTCTGTGTTCTTCTGGCAGCAAAGAGATGGACAGGTAATCATGATGAAATTCTTATTACAAAAATAATATATGGTATTCCAAAGAGATGTAGATCAACAGGTCTTGTCTTCTAAGCACCTTGAATGCACAGGAGTAGCAGCTGGACTTTGGGTTCTGGTCCAGTTGATACTTACTTGACTTGTTAATCCAGAGTCAGGATGCTGTGAAATGGAAATCTAGCATGCCTCTGGGGCAAAGACATTTAGTTCATTTATTTCAGTTACTAAGGCCTTCAGGTGTGTTGATTTTCCTCTAGGTTTCCCTACCTGGAAGACAGATGGATTTTCCAGGTGACTGGAGGACTGGAAAAGGAGGGAAGATGACCCCTTTCTGCCTAAGTGCTGTGCTGGGGAGGGCCAGCTGTGGGCTTGCAGTGACATGACAGAAGAGTAGCTGCCTGGTGCCTCCCTGCATACATTACAGTGGTGTAAGTTCAGCTGAAAATAACCTCCTACCTCTGTCCCTCAACTGGTGAGAAAATTAGCTAGTGTTTGCACAGAGCCTGAAAATACAGATTCATCAATATTATAATGACTTCCCAGAGATCCCTGGGAGGAGTAAGTAAGTGAGCCAAAGCTAATGATAACAACCCTATTTTTGTATGGCACTTACTCTTTACAAGTTACACTCCCTTGGTAATACCACTCGAAAAGCTCTCTCCTTGCAGAAGCAGGCGTGCAAGTGAAAGTCAATTGTAATGAAATACTTTGTGGAGCTGCACTACACACGCAGCTCTATCCCCCTGCACTCCAGAGTCAAGAGCTCTATTTCAGCGTGGCAGCACCACAGTGCCGGTGCTCAGAGCAGCTCGACCAAGTACTGCTCTTTGAGAGAGAAGACTAAGCCTCTTCACACAGGCAATTTTCTGAGGAGTAATGACTGCTGCACACCTGCAAATAAGGCTGAATACTCCCAGAGCGCCAGGCCAGGCTAAGGGGGAGGTCCCAGAGACTTCAAGCATGTAGAAATGCGCCCGCTCTCGCTCTCTCTCTCCCCCCTCCCCAAGGCGAAGGAAAACCGGCAGTCGTCCCTGCTGTGCAGGGACACAGCTGATCTGGGAAGAGACCCAAGTCCTGGAATCTGCAGGAAACCTAAATTCAACTGCCGTTTCTTATCATATCTCTACGTGACTCTCCCTCCATTCTGGAAGCATCCCCGGTGGGAAACACAGCTGGGGAGTATTTCGGCTGCGATGATGTCAGCCCGCTCCCGATAGGCTTCTCTGTAAGGTGACACTTTGCTGGGTGAGACCCGTGCGCCTGGCCCTGGATTTGTAGAGCGTCGGACTTGTTCCCTTTCTGCCAGAGGATGGCACTCCACCCCCTGCAAAAGAGCAGCTCTTCCCAGGACCGCAGTCCTTTGCCTGCCTTGACAGGGCTGTGACGGAGAGGTGACACAAACGCTATCTGCTCATTTGTACCTCTTCTTCTGTGCAGACACCGATGGGATGGCCTGGCTGCAGGCAGAGAAATGTGAGCAAGACGAAAATTGCAGAGTGGAGATTGCTAGTTTTGAAATCTCATTCTTCAAGGCACCATGGCAAATTATAGGAACTGGTCCTGATCCAAGGACAGTTCCTCTAAACGTGATGCCTGAGATGCACCAAAATACAGTAAAGCAGTGGGGAAAAAAATGGGTCTCTATACTGGAAGCACGAGAGGCTCGACTTCTATCAGCTGTGCAGATGCAGACACATACATGAACAAACCCACACAGGGGATTTGCCTGTTTGACTTGAGAAGGAGGACATGCCACACATAGTGATTCACCATGGGTGTACACGTGGGGAAGGACAGGCCACAGGCTGCTGAGAGTGTAAGAAATTTTCTGTGTGATCTGCTCCTCAGTACCATCACCGTTTGCTTTTCTCCTCCAAACCATCAGCCTGAGGTGTGTTACTACCTGTGCCCGTGCCCAGTTCCTGTCGTTCTCCTTCTCTCTCATTCTGCTTCTCCAGCGCTGAGGCTGCAGCATCAGAGGTGCAGATGGTGGAGTTCACAGCACTCACACCAAAACAAAAAGATTTGCCACAGGATTATCTAAACCGAGTACCTCCAGGAAGCTAAATGCTACACAGCACATCTGAACTTTTCAGCATCAACTAACAGAATCTAAATTGCTCAGAAAATGGACAGCATTAGGATAAAGCTTTCAAATCAATATGCACTCATTCTCAACCTAAAAACACCTCTGGAAAGTTACAGGTTTTCTTCCTGCCTTACAAACAGAGAAACAAAGGTCAGAAGCACAGCCTGCCCAGATACCTAGACAGTTTTTCCTTCCAAATTGCACTTGACCACAGAGTTTACATGAGCCATGCAATGTTAAAACCCCCTTCAAGCGAAGCTTCAGAAAAACTCTCTAGTGCATTTCAGTAACTTATGTGCATGAAAACTATTCCCAGGCAGCTCCAGGATTTTAAGCCATGGAAATTCACTGCCTTGCGCCTGACTTATCTCTTTAGGGTAGGTTTTGATCTGATTCTATCATGACCTTTCTAGTGTGAATGGTAAAAATCACCTATCAAAATGAAAAATGTAACCTTTCATACTCCTTACATTATCTGGTATTTTAATAAAAACCCACGAAAATCACATAAGTCTTCCTGTGAGCTCCCCAGCTTTAAAAGAGACCCATTTGATATCTGAAAGTCTACATGTATCGCCAGTGTGACCTGATGGTTCCCCCAGCACAGTGAGGAAGATGATTTTTGGTCTACAGTTTGAACCACAGATGGATGAAGAACCAAGCCAGAGCAGATCCAAAGCAAGTGAGCTGCGATGTGGCCTGGGGGCCAGAGCGTGCATCCCAGCCCAACCCCCCAGCCCACCACGCGTTGCCATTACCTGTGCTCGATGCTCCCCCACCGCAAACTGTATGACGGCGATGCCCGGGCTATGGCTGTCTTCGATCCTCTCCACAGTGCTGGAGTCTATTTTCAGGTCATTGCTAATTTCCGCGCTCTGTATGAAGTCTTCTGTTTTCAAGTCCTCCACTTTCTTCAGCTCCCCGTTGGCCAGCTGGATGATCGACCCCTTCATGAAGTAAGGGGGCAGCGTGGGGGGCGCGGCGGCAGGGGAGGCAATGGACTGCACCACGGGCAGGTGGATCTGCGCCTGCACCATGGTGGCCTGGTAGGCAGGCTGGGTGGTGAGGGGCTCTGCACTGAAGTTCTCGCTCTTGGGGACGGCGGTGGTGACGAACGTGTGAGGCACTGCTGCAAACTGAGGAGACGACGTGACGATCGCAGGCGTGACTCCCGACGGCTCGACGTCCGCGCTGCCGACCGGTATCAGCAGGGACTGGGTGCCCGGGATCACCAGGTGCTGCGGCAGGCTGCTGGGGTAGCCGATGGCTTGCTGCTGGCCGCTCAGGTAGCCGATCACCGGCGGCTGGGTCCCAGTGTAGAAAGCTGTCGCTGGCAGCCCCACAGGGAGCTGCTCAGAGGCGCTGTGGGTGGTCTGAATGACGGTGTGAGGGGACAGCGTGGCCACCGCCTTCACCCCCTCGTGGCCCAGAGCCTGCTGCGGAGACAAGGCATAGGACCGGTGGGTTGGCTTTCCTAAGTGCAAACTTCCCTTGTCGTTGAGGGCTGAAGGAGAGGTCTCACGGTTGGCGGCCTGCTGCACCTCCATGTCTGCCGTGGGCGTGCTGCTGTTGGGGACCACCATGACAGAGGCTCGGACACCTGAGGAATCCCGCACGCCGTACTCGGCGGGGCTCGAGTGGACCACCACGTGCCTGGTCTCATAGTGATGGGGAGCTGGTTTATTGCCTGCTTTGACCAGACCCATGTCGGCAGAAGGCGAAATGCCGTACCTCCGGCTCTTCTCTATCTCGCCATTCAGTACCTCCTTGGCCTGCATCGCCTGCAGCCGGCTGCTCTCGGGTTTCTTGGGGGGATCCCTGGTGACAAAGTGGCCCCCCGAGTCAGTGTACTGCACCACCACTTGGGAGGAAGGGCCAAGGGTGAGGGTGTGCGGGATCACTGTCTGATGTGGGTGCAGGGGGACTGGGATGGTTGGAGGAGAGACATTTCTGACAGTGCTCTGGGAAGAGCTGGAAATGTGGACGTACTGGTTCTGCTGGGTGGGTGGAGGAGACCCAGCAGCGATCAGTCCAGGCGTCCTGACCAGGTGCGGCTCAACTTTGTGCCCCTGCTGGCTTAAGCCGCTCATGCTGGCCAGCAAAGTGGAATAAGCCTCCAGCTGGGAGCGCTGGGATGGAGTGGTTGCAACGGCTGTGGCCGCCGCCACGGCGCCGGTCGCAGAATTGGCTGTCGGAGAAATCAGCTGTGAGGGGATGAATCCGGTGTACGATCCACTGTACTGGGGCCCGACAAACTGGAAGGTGTGCTGCAGGTGAGTGTACTGCACGGGGGAAACGGGGGTCCCTGACTGGGAGAGGGCAGGCGAGTACACCGTGGGAAGAGTGGTAGAGGCTGGAACGGACCTGGGCGCACTCGGTGGGGAATAGTCCATCCCTGCAGACAGTGACTTGTGCAAACCCTGCTGCAAGCCTGCCTCCACCGAGGAGGTGCCCCCGGGCCGGTGCCTGCCCCCCAGGCAGCCCTGGCCACTGGGTGTGCTGGGGAGCCATGCCAGGTTATCTGCACGGTGGTTTTCGTTTGGCAGGACCGGCTTCACCTCCGAAGGCAGGCTGGTGGCAGGGATTTCTCGCTTCTTAGGTGGCAGGCATTCATTGCTCCGCTCTTGGTTGGATTTCATCTTTCGCCGTCCCCCCTCCACTGTGCTTGCTTCACTGTCTGGCTGGCTCTGATTTCAGTCTGATAAACGGAAAGTCACATTTGATTTCTGCAGGGGATCCAGTGACTTCATGAGGAATCATCTCCCTGTGAGCACGATCCTCCGACAGCTGCTCTGGATTCTGCAACGAAAGGGTGGGCAAGAGAGATGGGAGTCACATCGTCAGCAATGAGAAATGAAAACGAATAAGCAGACACCCTAAATCAGCAAACAGGAAAAAGACCTCTGGAAAAAAAAAAAGGTCAGGCATTGCCACTCTCACATCAAGGAGCAATTGACAGCTAGCTATGCTGTAAACAGCAGAAAAATCCTGGGCATGTCTGCTAATGCATCAGGAAAACATTAAAAAAATTAGGCATATCAGAAACAACCTGGCCATAACTTGGTACATTTAGCAGCAGTCATTTATTTCCCAAGGCCCATTCTCCTTCCTCTACGAAAACCCTCTATGTCTCTACGGTGCCTGCTTTGTTCTTCCAGCCTCTTCTTCCCCTGCAATGACGACACTGCCTTCACCCTAACGTGCCCTAAATGGGAGCACAGCAGGGAGTCCTGAGGAACAGGCACACACAAAATATTGTTAGCAACAAGTCACTGTGAGTGGTGCAGAGGGAAGGTGGTGGGTCACTCCTAAACCCCTGAAACCCAGAGACACCGGCAGGGTGACTTCACGTGACACCATGAGGGCTGTGGAGGCAGCAGCTGCCTCCTGTCCCCACTCCACACCACAGCTCATTACAGGGACACGTGTGCTTCATCTCCCAGTCTGGCAATGAAGCTCAGCCACGCGAGCTATTTACAGCAGCAGCCCAGAGCCAGGGATGGATCCGAGCCAGGTTTTTGATGTCTGGTGGGGTTTTTTTTTGACCCAGTGCTTTGAAATCCTTCTGCTATTGATGCCTCACATTCAGGTGTCCAGGCAGGACTCTGCTGGGAGGAACTCCCTGCCACATGCAGGTAGGCCAGAGCCAGGTGCTGGCACCATATCCATCTCTGGCAGGATCCAACCCCACTCCTTCTCAGCCACTGCTCACCACAGAGGCTGTTGGTACCACACTCAGGGCCACAGCCACAGGTCTATGAGTTTGACTCAGGTGTCCTCAGCCTTGGGGACACCTGCCCAGAACTGCTCGGAAAAGTGTGTTTGAGTTTCCTGATCCAAATCATGAGCCTCCACCACTGTAAAAATTTGAGTTTCATATTGGGCTGATTTTTCTGTTGGAGCAAGTAAGTTGCTTTCTCCACATCACCAATTTCAACCAAAGGCAACAAAGTCTTCCTAACTCTTCTGTTACCTGCTAAAGAAAATATTGTAAATGTAATGTGTTACACATTTACTCTCTTCCTGAAACCTTGCCTAGCCTAATCAACCTTCATGGAGAGCGAAACTTTTCCTCAGCCCCTGTCCAGCCTCCGCCTGTCATCCGCAGTTCTGGCTCTTTTGAAAGTTGTTCAAGAATGGGCGATGAGAAACCGCGCACCTCGCATGAGTGGCAGCTCAACAAGAAAAGCATGCATTACATGTAAGAAGAATAGAGAGAAAGAATTAAGAGTGGATGTGAAAGAAGATGGAAATAGGATATAGCCCACTTTAAAGGGAATGCTGAGGAGCAGTAATGATACTTATCTTATGGCAAGTAATATTCCTCTGGGGGATTTCTTTCCCTGCTGCCTCACTTCTAATGAACAATAAGCCTGATGTTTTATGTGTATGAAGTACTTTGAAGACACACTAGACTCAGATTAAACCTATCTTAAAAAGCACTCTTTACATTTATGGTCCTCCGAGCTGCTGTAAGCCTGCAAGAAAAGTCCAAACCTTCTAATGGTTTGATACAATCAGTCTTAAGTTAATTACTCCATTCTTTAAATATTGATAAACAGTAACGAAACACCAACAGCTAGAGCTAGGGGAGGGAGGTAAAGCACTGTTTCAGGGAAGATTCCCTGGCTTTGAGGAGACAGGGAGGATGAAAGAACTCAGGGCAGCTTCAGCTGCAAGGGCCGGTGACACCCAGGGCGCAGCAGCCCAGGCACTATCCTGACCTGCCCTGGTCTGTCAGCACCATCACCTCGGCACCGTGACCGCAGCGACGAGGGCAGCCAGGAGACAGGGCCCCTGCTGGATCAGCATGGGCCTTCCCCTCCTCCTAACAGTTGCTCAGCGTGTCTTGGCAACAGCTAAAATTATTATATTACACATGACTTACAGATTTTTCTTTTTAAGTTCGACTAAAAATAAAACTGCCGAGCTCACATTTGCGCAGTCATCCTTGGTTAACTTTAGCTCTCTGTAGCCTTCTGCCCCAGGCAGCCGGCTTGGGTAGGTAAGTCAGCAGATCCTGGCCCAGGCAGCTGCCCAGAGGGGACATCCTCAGCATGGGGTGCTCATCCTGCTCCCCCTGTCACAGGGAGCTTGTGTTGGGCTTGGACTATCCTCCAATCTCTTCTGGAACATGAGCTGCAAATCCAGAATTTAAATACGCTCCCACGGGGAAAAGCTGGGAGCAGAGGCAGAAGGCTGGCTTCTCTGCCTGCAGCAGAGCAGAGAGCTTGTATTTGGGACTGAACAGGGATAGGATCTTTTGCTGTGCTGGGTAAACCAGGCTCCCCCAGTGGTTCCAAAAGTTCGAGGCATCTGGGTTCAGCTTCTCTGCATCGAAAGTAGTACTATGAAGCCTTATGAAATGGAGTGAAGTTTCATTATGCAGGAGCTGAAGCAAAGATTTTATTCTGCTAAATAGCATTGAACCACTGAGGTTTGGGTGGCCTCCAATGTCAAAGCTAACATCCTTCAAAAATACCAAGTACTAACTCTTTTGGGTCATGCATTTTGGTTTTTTTGGTGTAAATCTTTCAGATGACTGACTTCATCTTTACTGGTAACAAAAGGACTGCTCAAAATCTCCTGGAGAACTCAGGAGGAATTAATAAATTTAACGGAGACAAGGGATGAGACAGCCACAGAGCAGTGAATACTGCCCCACTTTTTCAAGCCCAGGCACTTCACAGTGAGACTTTGAGCTCTTAACAGACATAGGACTAGATTTGCAAAAAAGTGGAAATATGCAGCATAAAACAGCCTACTTCTACTTCAAGATCTAAAAGTAAAACAGTAACTTTTCAGCATTATTCAAGTTCTGGCAACAGTAAAGATAAGACAGGACTGATATTGCTTGGGAAGCAATGAAAGGGAGAGAACCCAAACAAGAGTGTCTCAAAGGCAAGAAGTACAAGACCTGGATAAGCAGTTTTTTGCTGGTTGTCCTAGAAAGATGAACGCCTGCCTTCTGTGGTGTGCCGCAGGGTTTGCTGGATGCATGCCTTTTTTTTTTTTTTTTTTTCTTTTAATTCAAGTCATTTTTCCAGCTCTGGAGCTTTCCTTTAACTTTAGAGCTGTCACTCACAATTTGTAGATATGCAAACGAGCAGGAAACACCAGGTGATTTTTTGCTCCTGTGTGTGTCACAAGTGCGTGCGTGCGTGCAGGCATGTGTAATTATGGCTGGGAAGGTAAAAGGGACAAAGAGATCAGGGAGAGCAGCTGGACTTTGGTATCTCTGGCAGTGAGTACACATGGAACATTGCTAAACTGTCTGGACAGCCAGTGTCCACTGGCAGTCTGCCCACACTCAAATTCCTGGAAAGGCTTAAGGCAGAAAAATAATCACTTGGAGGAGTCACCATCTGGGCTTGCTCTGGTCCCAGAGGGATTGCTCACTGGAGCTCGGGATGTGCATTTTCATGCAAAACTCCAAGATCTCTTTGCAAGGCACTTTAAATCTCACTATCTTTCCCAAAACAACATTTTTCTACTTATTTCATCTAATAAATTTTAAACAAAGGAGAGGATATTGGGCTATAGCTTCAGATGCTGACCTCCTTTATTTATCTGGAGTTCACTGCAGCAAAGGTAAAACCAGCAATGCAAGCATCCAAACACAGCGACATGCTGTGTCCCACCACCCACCAGGACTGAGACTCGGGGTGCAGAGAAGTTGGGGCCACAACCACAAAACACAGCAGCACCTGGCTATGCAAACAGTGTGACTTTCACTGCCTTGAGAAACCAAGCACTTTCTCTGTCCCATGGTGCAGCTAACATCCTTTTTTGGGTCTCTAAACCTTCTTCAAAAATCTGGTTCCTCCATCCTCCTCTGGTCCCTGACCTTTCTGCAGTTGCCAGCAAGCTCACACCATCATGTGCCAGCAGGAGGAGGGACTGGTGCAAGAAGCAAACACCCAAGTGGGGCAGTCGTCAGCTTCCAACTTCAGGGATATTCAGTTAAGCCAGTCACTTATTGTCAAAAGGTTCCTTTGATGGCAAATCCTAAAAACACACAGAGTACTATGACTTTTCAACTTCCACTTTCCAGCTCCAGGTATGACCAGCAAACTGTCACATTTATCCGTGAGATATATCTGTACACATTTATACACTAGAAAAACTATGTCTCTCCTCCATCAGACACTGTTGCCCTGCCTGGCACGCAGATGTTAATGCAACATTTGGCAGAGTCGAGCCTGATACGCGGCTCTTTATGTCTGGGGTGTTACCGGGCAGATGCAGCAGCGCAGTCTGATGCTCCCGCCTCAAATCACCCGCCCATCCTATCACGAGTGAGTAATTTCGGCAGCGCTGGAAATGAGTGAGAAGGGGGAGGCACTTCGTCCTCTCCCCTCCCCGCCAAGGAGGCTGGCATCTTGCAGGATCAGATTCAGAGAGACGAAAAGACAGACACACTGCAGAGGGCTCCGCAGCTGCATTCCGCCTCAGATCCGTAAGCCAGCTTTCTTCCCCCGCTCTACAGCCTGCCCGCTGCCGGCTACATATTCATGGTTGTAGCTGCTACACATTCCATTAGCCCTGCCATGTGCAGCTCAGCGCAGGCCAACAATAGCTATAGGAGTTTATTGTCCAACCCGACCAATTTCACAGCTCCCTGGCACAATTCCCGGGAGAGCCAACTGCAGAGATCCATTAATAAGGAACATGAAAACCTCTAATAAAATTTGAAATTCTTCTCCCAAAATGAAAGGATTCCTGATCAACACCACATCCGCAAGACAGATTGTCCAGTGCAGTGTTAGTTCTTATTATACTTTGGGAATCTGCCACAG